AGTGCTAGTCAACATAAACACTGAATAAAAATTACTTTGTAACTTACATCGTTTGCTACGCTAGCGCCACACTTCTCGTGCGGGCGCAGATGGCGCAGATTTGTCATTCTGCCCTCAAACTACACGGTGAAGCGTGCTACTAAGTGTATGGCTGATGAGAAGCGCGTCTGGGTCCGCTTTTTTTTTTTTTTTCTCCGATATATCTGGGCGGGGGGCTCCTTATGCACGTGTTTCGGTGCTTGATCGACTTTGACGCCCTTACTTTTGTCTAGGCTTTTTTTATCGTTGTTTTGCACGTGTTTCGGCGTTCGGTCCCTTTGACGTGCCAACTCTCCATTCTGCTGCTGCGTGTGTTAGGTATTTGCCGTACTGTATTCTCAGGCCTTCTGTGTTCAGCCAGCGCTGCTATCTTATTATCTACGGATGCTAAAATAAATCACTGTTTTGGTTTGGTGAAGCTTGGCACACAGAACAAACAATAATCTGGCCCATGAATATCAATGTGGGTGGCATGCATATTTGTGTGCGGTGTCCTGCCGGGGAGTAACCGTTGCGTGACGAGAGCATTTACAGCGGTTCCTCCTTCCGTTGCTCCCTTACAAACTTAAGATGAATACAGTTGCTCCCCCATTCTCGAACAAGTCGGCCATCTTGTTCCGCTTGGTCTTTTCGGAGAGTAACAGCCGGTCTGAAGGAGTAAAAACAGCCGTTGCTCCCATTTTGGCCATTTTTGGCTTAGAGTGTATATGTGGAGCTAGCGAAATGGCCGCGAGCGCATCATGAAGGGCCCAATATACTCCAGTGTAGCGTTGACGAGCGCGCTTTCTGTGCACAGCGACCATACGCAACGCCTCCTAGATTTTCGTGCCTGCCGGATTATCGGCGGTCACTTGGGAAGCGGCGGTCGTCGGAACTACGGTGGTGGCGCCACTCAAGTAGGGGTGTCTTCAAATGTTTTTTTTTTACGTTTTTGGAGCATATATGCACCAAATAAACGTAAAAAAGTTTTAAAAAGGCGTAGACGTAGTTTCAATTAACCCTACGTAAGTGACGCCGTCATTAAGCAAGCAACTTTTTTTATACAAGGCATCCTCTGAAATTAGGAACAAACGCCTAAATTGCTGATCTCAAAGGCTAAGTACAAAACCCTTACTCCTACGTAGGCAGCGCCGCCATAGATGACCGGCGTTTCGTGCTCATCCGGCAGGTACGGGAAATCTAGGAGGCGTTGCCCTACGTTAGGAAAACGCGAGCAATTTACAGTCCGACGCCAGGCGCGACCAGCGTCCGTCGGCGTGGCCCGACGGCAACCGGCGCGAAATGCGACATGCTGCATTTCGCGCCGATGTGTTATGCAGACAGCACTGCGTCTCACTCTTTTCGTGACGGCGAACGCCGGACGAGCTGAAACACGCATGCGTCAAAGCAACGCAGCGCGGCGCGTGCCTGCGAGTATATGGCAGGACTGGAGCCTTGTGTGGCAACGCCGGCGTGACACGACGAAATGAACGCCGCCGAGAACATGCACCGCGTCACGTCGAAATGTATTGGCGCATTAACTGGGGCATGTAGTCATGCTCTCACATGACACGCATCTCACAATTATCGCGTTTGCACTAGTCACATACCTTCGTCATCCATTGGCGTCACGTAATACCAAATTTGACATATGTGAAGCTAGCGAAACGGCCGCCAGCGCATCATCAGTGTGGCATGTAGTCATGTTGTTACATGACATGCATGTAGTGACTACCATGTTTGGATGTGTCATTTACCCATGTCGTCCGTTCGCGTCACGTAATACCGAGTTTGGTACATGTAAAGCTGGCGAAACAGCCGCGAGTGCATCATGAGCGTATAATGTAGTCATGTTGTTACATGACACGCATCTCGTGATTATAATGTTTGCACCAGTCACATGCTTTCGTCATCAATTCACGTATTGTAAGACCAAATTTGGTATATGTGACGCTAGCGAAACGGCCGCCAGTGCATCATGAGCGTGGCATGAGCGTGGGAAGTGTGCTTGCAGTAGTTACCCGATCAGTGTTTAGAAAAGACTCTGAAAGGCCGCTCTTCTAGATTTCGCTGTGAGTGTGCTGCGCCTACCGCGCAGGCCTGGCGCTTTTTGTGGTGTTGATGTTATTTCTCTAAAGTTTTCTTTTCTGTTTTTGAAGTCGTGCGAGCTTATATGGTTACCCTGTAATGGCTAATCAATTCTTTTTCAACCTTTTTCTTAGCGAATGAATTAGTCTATTAAGCATGGTACCGTCAGAATTCATGACCCATCCACCGGAGTGGCTTGCGCCACGATGTTGAGGAACAACCAACCAACATTGACACTGTCTATGTCCCGCGTACGGACGTTTCTTTCGACGCGGTGGAAGCGAAGCAAGGTAGCGCTAGAGAAGGTTGGGCGCCCCGCGGGGCCCGATTACGTTATCGCGCTGTACTCCTTGTGGCTAAGCTCAGGAGTTCTTCGATCTTTCTTTCGAGATGAAAAAAACATGGTAAATTAACGGTACTTGGTCAAAACAATATTATGTCGCTTGTCTCATAGGTCCGCACTTGAATTGAACGCCGAAATTCTGCACTTTGCACTCATAGCGCACACAAATACGGCAACGTTTGCCCCCTTCGACATGTCGCGCTAAATTACAGCGCCGCCCTTCGATCGATCGATAAATCAATCAATCAATCAATAATTAATCAATCGATGTTTATTAGTGGCGTTGAAATGTAAGATATAATCGTATGACGTCAACAGATAACAGAAATCACGAAAATATTGGGATAACTTGTTTTATTAATTTAAATATGACCACAAGCTAAGAAGGAATCGAAATGGACGAAGGCAGAACTTGCCACGGCTGTCATTTTCGCGCACGCCTTCACATAACGGTTGCGAATGTCTTCACGTAACGGTTGTGAACAATGGAACTACCGCGACACCTTTATGCAGTCTGTTAGCTTGGGCGTATTTTGTACTGCATATATTTCATCTTGGTCGGGCTAGCTAGCCTTGCCGCTGACGCAGCTTTGGCGGTGGGCTTAGAGCTTATTATCTATTCATAAGCGTCACGTTGTATGTGACTTTCTCTCGCGACGGCGGATGGCCAAACCATTGCATACTATACTTCAAGGCATCCAAGCTATGATATTGATAGATATGTGGGGTTTAACGTCCCAAAACCACTATATGATTATGAGAGACGCCGTAGTTGAGGGCTCCGGAAATTTAGACCACCTGGGGTTCTTTAACGTGCACCCAAATCTGAGCACACGGGCCTACAACATTTCCGCCTCCATCGGAAATGCAGCCGCCGCAGCCGGGATACGAACCCGCACCCTGCGGGTCAGCAGCCGAGTACCTTAGCCACTAGACCACCGCGGCGGGGCAGGCATCCAAGCTATACCGCAGTCCGAGCTCTCGCTGTGTTATAAACTAGATGGGAAACAGGGGTATGTGATTGCCTTAGGTCACAGTCATACAAAGCCCGCCGACAATCAAAACGAAAAAATTCACAGTGTCATTTACTGCATTTTTTTCAAAATTTGAATTGTAGAAATTACGAAGGGCACGGATTCAAACGTGACATCAGGATTCTTAGTATGACGACTGGTGTTTGCAATTTCTCCGCATAATCGCTCTATATATATGTCGCGACGAACCTGGTCTCAAAAGATAATGCTTGTTATCACTTACGCGTTATAGACTAAAAATTACGCCGATATGACTTGAATTGAAGAGAGTGGATATACAAAAGTATGTGAGGTAGTTAGGCCTAAATTGTTCCGTTTCAATTCGTCTGTACTGACGCGTTCACGTGTTGATGCATTGAAATCTTGAGCCCTGTGCATCTCTGTTTCGTCATCGTGTTTTTCGTTCTTATAAAGCATGCCAGTGAGAATCATTGACCTCGTTGCCTTTCGTATTTCGAAATAGCTTATTTGGAACACGCCGGTGGCCTAACCAAATTGTAGATCATGCCAATCACCCGACCACGATGCTCAAGAACACATGTTATCAATTTTTTTTACAAAGAAGAATGTCAGTACAAGGAAGTTCTTGCTCGATTGCGGTTGCAAGGGCACGTGTATAGTGTAAACCACGCAACAGCTCCGGTTCTTACGGGAAGGTTTGCTGATGATACGAGGGTTGCATCTTATCGGTGGCCTATCGTCCGGTAGACTCACGTTCTCCGAAGTCCTTACGAAGTTCCAAGAATCGACGAGCTTTTCTGTTGAATTTGCGTTCGCCGATACGGCTGGAATACACGGAAAAGTGGCGGTCTTGCTTTCACTTGCTCACCCAATACACTGGAACGCGCACAAGAGGGCTTGCTTTCCGGTAGCGCAGGAATGCATTGCGATATCACATACAGGGTGAACTGACTAGGTTAAAGTCCTGACCTTATATAGCTATCGCTCATCGCCTCCTTCGGGAAAGATGCTCTGTTGTGCGTTTTGTTTCAAGGAAGGGAACACATATTGGTATGGTATCGGAAGTGGGTGGAGTTCAAACCCACCTAAGCTTGCGGACAGCAGTCACGGAATTGAGTCCCACTAGGCCTGAGACCGTGAACAAGGCTGAAGCGAAGTTTATATTTATACTGACTCAAATCAGGATGCCGATTGTGAAACATAGAAACTTTGTTCTATGGTTACCCTTGAACACTAGGTGACTACGTGGTGTGCCTCAGGAAAAAAAATTGTCTTTGAGACCAGTGCCACCTCTGTTGCTTACTCTAACAAAGTGTTATTAATTGCAATAGGCGCATAAAAACATTTGTCATTTAGCTAAGTGACAAATGCTTGATTTCTTGTGAAGCCGCATGCTTGTGAAGCCGCAGGCCACAAGCACAATGTCTGCGGGTCGCATGTCTCAAACCACCGAGCTTAATGTTTCACCGTTCGAGTGACGTTATAATGCGCTTATTCATGCCGTTTTTTTTTCTAATCTTCATTTCGCATGTTCTTCTTTTCTAATTCATGCGCAGCAGAGGAACACAACCGCTTTCGTGAGATGGAGCTGTTCATGCGAACCACCCCGCAGCCGCTGCTGGGCGGTCTGTCGTCGCAGTTCCTGCCGCGCATCAAGGTGGAGCTGCCGGAGCCACCGGAGTCGCCGCTGCGGAGGCTAAACACCGACTGCGGTGGCGGCGGTTTGCTCAGCAACAACTTCGACGACAGTCCTTTGGACGTGCGGATCCGCCCGCGCTCACCGAACGGCAGCGCCATAAACAGGTGCGCCAGGGGCTCGGCCAGCGTGGGCGGTGCGCCCGTGGTCGACAACGGTGAAGTCGAGGAGATCGTCGCCAACGTGGAGCTCGCCGACGACAGTACTGGAGGGGACGTGCTCGAGGAGCGCAACAACTGCTCGCCCAGTGCGGCCACAGCGGCAGCCGCCTGGTGCCAGGATGCCGTACGCAGCGGCAGCCCGCGCGGTCGCCGAGCGGCAGCTGGTGGAGCTGCAGCGGTTGCACGCCGAGGAAGAGCACAAGCTCAAGGTCGAACTGCTCAAGAAGCAGCACATGGTGGCCGACCTGCAGAGGAAGTACTGGCGTATGAAGGTAAAGGCGCTCGCGCAGAAGGCGGCCTCGTCCTCGTACCAACCCAATGAGAACAAGTCCGTCGACGAGGAGGACTCGGACTCGCCGGACTGATGGGACTGCGTGCGTGGTCGATGGGGCCTCCTCGTCCCACTTTGTGCGTGCGTGTTCGCGCGTGTGTGTACATTGTCGACACGTTGCGACATTTTTTTTTCTTCCACGCAGTGCCATGCGAACATACTCTGGTTTTGCTCACGCTTGACGTCTGGTCATAATTGTGAGAGCGACACGGTTTATTTTCGTTAGTTTTTTGTTATCTGCCTTCTTTTCTTCTTTAGTGATTTCCACTTGACATCTCTTCAGCAGCAGCTCCAGGTGCTTTGTGCTTCGTTTGGTTCATGATGAAGCGCCACGCCATATATATACAATGCAGAATGGCTCGACTCATGAACAACTCTTTCACGACTCGCATATTCACAAAGGAAGCCAAGCAAGTGCTGTGGTCGACTAAGTAGGACTTAGCTTCGTCGGCTTGTAGTGCGTGTATGGCGTGAGAGTGGCGGCTTAAGCGAAGGAAGGACTCGGAGATTACAGCGTTTGCTTGAAGGGGCCCTGCCCGTGCCACACTTTTTTTAGCATGGTCAGAAGGCGCTGCCGGTCGTTTGTCGAGGTTTCCTGAAAAGGCGCGAGCCAAATATTATAGTTCACGTGGCCTGCCATTGAAAAATGTTTCTCAAAGTTAGCTAAAAATCGTTGTCCTCTTATCTCGGCAAAGATGTTATAACCGAAATCGCCGCGCCAAGAAGTCGTACGTCCACGACAGTTGACTGACTTGAGCACCGTGAACTGCGTAGTTACCGCGGCTGCCGTGGGATGCCACCACGCTGCCCTCTCGTGCGCTTCGCAGTCACACGGAAAGTATACACCGTGAGTTCAAAAAGTAAAAGAAAGTGCTCAAGGTCAGTAACGCGCGCGGACTGAATGGACCATCTTCTCCCTCTGTTGTCACCCCCTCCCTCCTCCTTAGCTTTCGGCGTGCTCGCTAATACGAAAAGAGAGATAAGTGCTTCAAGCGTGTGACATCCCAAGTAACTCTGTCCTACATGACTATTTCGAAAGGAAAATTGGTGCTGTCGATTCGTGAAATACAACAGGCTCTTTTAATGAAACTTTTAGATGTTTCTGTGGACAGGCGTTATCGATCCTCTTCAAGGTATTGCTTTTATCTTCTAGTCACGTGCTACCACGAGGATAGGCTAAGCTATGAGAGAGAGTATTGGATTTGTTTTGGTTCCAGTATTCTATTGAGCAAGGGCAATGAGCTATCCGTATGCAGTGTTGATAGGTATTGCCAAGGGATTGTATTTTTAGGAGGCTAGTTGTCGCGGTGTCATTAAAAGTGCCAAACCATCTTTGTGAGAGGACTGCTTGCCTTTGACGCACGAATAGAAGCCCTTGTTGTTCGCGATTTCTAGTTTATGTAAGCATTATAATTCTGCTATACCCTCTCCTTACAAAGGGCTCGACGTGCGTGGTCAGTAAATACGTACTTTCCATGGTAATTTAAGACACAACGCTTCCTTCTAAACTGCATTTCGGGCGTTTAGTCATTTTGTCATCTTTCTCTTTCTTTTTCTACCTTCCCAGCGTAGGGTAGCCAACAAGATGCTTTTCTGGTTAACGTCCTTGCCTTCCTTTGGGCATTTCTTTCCTCCCTTCTCTTGTCTCCTCTAAAGGACGACCTAAGTGTGCCTTCGAAATGGTCATTGTAGCTAGCTCTTCAAGCCCACATTACGCAAGCGCTGTGGATAGAAAAGTGTGTGATGGAGCATTAAGATATCGAATTTTGTTTTCTTAGTTCGCGATGTTGGCATACAGTTTGAACTGCACTCGCTCCTTGCACGTCTACGGCGGAATCGGCTGTATACCTTTCAAGTTTTCCTAAGTATGTTATTTATTCCTATTGCGCGTGTTGCTCGTATACTGCAGTCACTGCAGATGGAAGTTGCGAGTGGGTGTGCCCCCAGTGGAGATGATAAGGCATTGTGCATTGCACCAGTGCCAAGTTCAAGAAATGTGCAATCCAGCTTGGAACACCAAGCATATCGCCAGTAGGGATTCGCAGCTGATATTTGATGACGTTTCTCTTTCTTGCTGATATGTGTGCGTGATAATTAGCGAATGCATATCAACGGCCCTCGCAATAAGCCGTTTAAGTAGCACCTGCTCATTGTGTCATAGCTATGCTGAGCTTCCAGTCAAAGTCTGTGCCAATTTTTAAAACCTGTTGTATACTACTACCCATTGTACTCTGCATTTGAGAACTGGGCTGAATGTGACGCTAAGAATGGTTGCGTAGTTCACCTTTAGTTTGTGTGATTGACGTTGTATAGTGAGAGAGAGAGAGAATATAGGAAGGGCATAGGGACGTCGTAGGGCTGATCTACACCCAAGTGGCCATAAATTAAGTGCAAAAAAGAAAAAGAAAGCGTTCACTACCAGCGACCATTCTACAGTATGCCATTTCACGCTTAGCAGGCGATACTTATGGATGCTAGACTGACTTGTCTCAATGCGTGTGTGCACGAACATAAAATAGTGCGTCACGTGTAATGGAAATAGTAGATAGGCATGGCAAGGGGTCTGCGTTAGGAGAGGTAAAGCTTTCATCATAGTGCTCCCCCTCCTTTTCCTTCATTGGTCGAGTTCGCGAGAAGGCCACCGTCGTAAGGGATGCAAAATAAAAAAAAAAATTGAAGTGAAGACGTGCTTTTCAGGACTGTCCACTTTCGACACCTGTATTTCCGGGGTTTAAAGCTGGGCAGTAAACAGTTCATTGAATTAGACACCAAGTGTTCTCGGCTGCTATTATTCTAAAAAATCTGAATGCTTGGTCATAACCAAGCATTCAGATTTTTGAGAATAATAGCAGCCGAGATCACTTGGTGTCTAATTGCTGGACCTGCACCGTGGAATGTACGGTGCAGATTCGGCGTCCCACTTAAGTGACAAAAGTGTGTGTGAGGGGGGAGGGAAGGAGGGGGGGAAAGGAGGGGGTGCTTTTGCTCTCTCTGCACGCACGCCTGTGAATACGTGGACATACGTCATCCGATTCGATGTAACTCTGAATCCTGCAATTTTGTGTAGGTTGTCTCGCGCAACTGTTGCGCACAGGTGGTGGGAGATGTGAGCGTCTGTACCATCGAACGAGATTAGTTGCATGTTTGGGGGACCAGGGACCCTAAGCGCTCCCCGGTCGTTATCGACCGAAACATGGTGCGTGACGTACTGTTAACGTAAATGTGTAGGAATAATACGCGATTTTACGTGTAGCTAAGAGCTGTGAGAGTTTGATTTGTAACGCACGAGGTAATGATTTGGTAGAACCTGCCGCAGATAAAGTACAACAAACACTGTGGAACTTGCGAAGTGAGACAATTTTATGACCACACTACTTGCGTAGCTCCGGCATCGACTGGTAGGTTTGAAATGGATGGCAGGAATGAGCGCTTTCTACCCCTTTTATTCGCTAAGTAGCATCCACGTGTGCCATATAGACCAATTATTGATTATGATGTGTCTTCGCCTTTTACTGCTTGGAAGCTTCTTGAGGTTTGGGGGAAGCACGCTTCAAGCTACAATAGGCTGAAATATCGTAGTGGTTTTTAATTATCATACATATCGGGAACAGTGAAAGAAACTGTCTGTGTGTGAAGTTGTGTATAGTAGACGGCCAACTACAGCAATGTCCTTTTCCTGAATAATTTCTGATTGAAGTCGCAGGTGATCAATTAACTGCACGCTTATACATAACGGTTTTATTTTGCGCGAACTTCACGTCGACTTAGAGGCTTTTACAATGTAAACAACTGTAAGAAAAACGTGACCTTATGCCGGTGTTTCTATGCATATATGAAATACATAATATGATGCGCGTAAAAATGCACCCTAATTTAGTTTCTCGCATGTACAAGAGTTATAGCCCATTTTTTTTTGTAGCAGCCGAAGCATCTAGCATTAGGTTTACGGGACATGCGACGCCCATTGAAGGGCATTCAAAGTACCGTTCGTAGGTTTTCGAAATGATCTTGAGATATAAACTAAGTTTAGTCAAACTGGCAAACCAATTGCTAAAAATTTTGTTTAAATTAGTTTCGCACTGTAAAGTTCATCAATAGTAGACAAAGCTAAGGCTAAACGTTTTTTAAAACCGAGCACAAACATTCGAAAAGGAAGTGCCTCTTGGGTGGCGGGTTTTATCGCACCTCTTCTTTTTTTACTCGGGCCTTTCTCGCGCAAGAAAAAGCTGTAAAGAAGCGTTTGGTGGACGACTTGTGTCCTTTACATTCTAGTTATTTGATTATTATTTATATCTAGTTAATGAGCTGCCGGAGCAGGCGCCGTTATTGTGTACGCGGGACGTGGATGTCGTGAGAGAAAATGAAAATCTCTCCATGTCCATGTTGATTTAACGTAATTTTAAGGCGTTTTTTTTTGCAGTGAGGAGGAAACTTTCGCCAGTTCAGAAGCGTGACAGAGGCGTAATTAAAGCTTAGCAAAGTGATTTTTCCTTGAGCTCTTGATTAGCAATTAAAATATCGACACATGGAAGCCGTTGACAATTCTTTGTACGAATTCTCTTGACTCATATATATTTTTGACATGTTGCTATCGTAACTGTTTTTGTTTATTTATTTACTTCAGTTTTCAGTAAGTTCTAATTGCCTAGGCGGGATCACAATAGGCAGCAACGTGCCACCAAGCCAGTGATAAAAATATGATCTACCTGTGTGGCAGTTGTGTGAAGCGAACTGATGCTGAGCAGGCAAAATCAAACGCGTTTCGCAAGTAATCAATAGGAAACACGATCTCACATGCCACTTACGCGAACACCGAATTTGACAGGCGTAACTCTCAAAGTAATAAGAACTAAAACGTAAGTTTACACTGCACATACTGCTAAAAGAAAGCGAAGAGGCGTACCTTAGACTCAGAATCAGCCCAGTCTCTGATGTGTTTGAATCATTCGTGACGTCACAACCTATATCTTCGCCTCCTCGTTTCAGAGGCACCAACGCGTACGTTACTGCGTAGGTAAACGTTAACATGGGTACCTGCACGTTAAACGATATAGATTTGGCAAGGGAAAGAGCACTGAATGTCCAAGTGTTAGGAGCGCGTGATCTTCAAGTAAAGGCGTAGGATGATTGCGTGATAAAAAAAAAAGAATGCCGGGAAAAAGCCTTATACTCATTTCTAGGGAATGGGCAAGCTGCGATGACTTGGACAAGGACAGTAGAAATTGCCAAGGGCAATAGTTATATAAAGCGGGATAGCATCTCGCTGGCTGAGTTGCTGCTCTGACTTACGGCTGTGGTGTAATGTTGTACGAAAGGCGCTCACCTAAACTTTAGGCGGAGCTTGTATCGAATGAAGCGCTGAACTATTTTCGCTTTTGTTTTTTTTTTGAACAATACTCGTTCTAATGAGATACATGTATTGGTGAAATGCAAAAAATAAACGTATGCTACTATTGAGGAGGTGATGGAGCAGAACAGGGCGTTCTATCTCGAGTGCGTCTATGGTAGCTATGCATCTTTTTTTTTTCAATACTAACAAGCATGTACGAACTAGCCTAACCACATGTATTGATCGCGCCATCTCTCACGGATGGTGCAGGGTGAACCAATCAACAACACAGTGGCCAACCGAGAGTTTTCCAGTGATTGTTCTGGATGTCTGGCTCGACAGGGACAGTTATATGCAGGCAGCCGTTGCAGGCCTTTAACTCGATCGATAACTTCTATGTTATCAAATTTGGAGGTACCGCAAACCTCGTTAAGGACATTTCGTGTGTTTGTTCACATTTACTTATGGTTCAAATACTGGTAAAGTGTGTCAAGGCATGACTAGATATTAAGGAAGATGTGCTGCATGGCCCCGGGTTCATAAACTTTTTATGGCAGAAAACAAATGTAGTATGCCCATTTTTTGCAATTCCGAAAACGTCTGTGACTAACTTATGCAATGCTGTGCGAGTGTGCAGAAAAGTTCCCAACTCTACGATTGGCATTGGCATATTTACTCATACTCTGTATTCAGATATTCATAAACGCCGGAAGTGGTTCCCAACGTGCTTTGAAATGAAAACTAAAAGTGTAGTTTGCATTTCCCAATGTTATTAAGAGTCTAAAAAGGGTTGTATTACAGCCTGTGGACGGAGGCAGTACCGTATTCATAATACGCTCGTCCGCGTTTAAGGCCTTCGTTCAAAAATCCTATACATGTCACGTTGTGACTTCACAGCGTTGCTACGCGATTTCGAAGCAAAAAACGGGAATATTTGTGCAAGAAAAATGTTGGCCGCAATTCTGCAGCAATGTTTCAACAACGTCAGAACTGTATGGTGTTCCCCGTGAAGCCAGGAGGGTGTTTCCCATATTCCTGTGCTAAAGATGTGTGATAGTCAGTGCCAAACGTTGCATTTTCAAAGCTCACAAGTGTTTCGTTGTTTGTTGTTTTACTTTGGTTTCAGACTTCACGTATGTCAGTTGTACGCACGCCCATCCTACGCATAGAAGTGAGTCACGACAAGTGACTGGAGTAAACCGCTCGTCCCATACTTAGCTCCACTTTTGCTGTTTCGATGCTGCTTCAAAAAAGGACAGTAGCTGCCACTGTAGCTAATCGCGTTAGACGTATTACCGAAAGAGCTAAGAGCTCTCGCTGAACTACAGTTATACGAAGAACGAAATAACATTAACGCAAAAAAGATCACCACTATTTACTTTCTTCTGAAAGTATCGCTGTCATAAGTTCACGTTCAGTCATCCGATCGGCTCCAATCTCAAGCTTAGTAGGTGGCTAACGCCAGTGTGGGGTACTTCTCGCCAACTCATCAAAGCAACGTTCTGTTCTGTTCTGTTCTAACTGATTTGCTGTGGCGAGGTTGAGGTTCATATTGCCTCGGCTATTTCATATCGATGAGTTCTGGAGTGAAAATAATACTTAAAAAAATAATACTGAATGATATCCAAAAAATAAACAATCCACAAAAAAAACATGATAGCACACTGAATCAACGCATTTCATTTTGCTGGAGTACGGCTGTTAGTGTAAAAAAAATACCATTGATGACCATTATACCGTGTGATGAAATTTTGTACCTTTCACGACGACAAAGAGACAAGAAATACTCGACACTCGTCGCACTTGCAACAAAATTTGTTTCGCAAACAATACTTCACATTCGTCTTAAATACACTACTACACCGTACGAGAAGATGACAAATCACCGACTAGTCCACTTTTCAAGCATTTCGAACTGTTGAGAAATGCTGTATAGGTTAAGGTTAATCGCCAGTCTCAAATTAGTCTGTAACGTCTTAAGCGAGTTCGGGACTTTCTCGCTTCGGGATTGTGGCGCTGCGAAACTTTACGCGTATACACTAACAGGACAGTGTGCCGTCTTCCCGAGAAGCGAATTGC